TAATAATAATAACAACATTAATAAAAGGCCTAACAAATTAATAAATGAATACCCTATATTAACTGAGAGACTGGGTTGAATATTTATACACACTACACTGTAGGAATATTTAAGTGAACTTCTAAAAAGGTTTAAAATTATTACCATATTATTGTTTTTTATTTAAAAATGGTGAAAAACGGGCAAAAAGTTGATGGACATGTACTGTGTACAGTGTAGCCTACTGACAGACAGCAGGGAGAATCAAATCAGAGCAGAGCAGAGACTTTCTCTTCTCCTGCCTGAAGAGAAGATCCGTTCAAACATGGTTCCTCCCGTACAGGTCTCCCCGCTTATTAAGGTATAGCTTCTCTTAGGAATATGACTCTCAAATTGTGTTTTAAATTCAGAAACCGCTAGTTTATATAGCTTATATCAGCGACCTTCATTGATCCTCAGCAAATAGCGCTATACATAGCCAACGCTAATGTGTTAGCTTAGCATAGAATCTGTTGGTCAAACCTATAGCAGATGTAGCCGGTGGATGAGCTAATCGTGTTAGCCAGCTAGCTGTCGAACCACAGCAATGCAAGGTCAGTAATGCTATCTAATGGGTACCATGACGTGTTGCGAAGAAAACAGCGAAGGAACGTGTCAAATGTGAATAAGGGTAACAACTAAACTTGTACACGATGAGGTGAATTTATAAAAGTAGAAATATTCCCTGTAACGTTAAGTCTCTAAATTAATATGGTCATACAAAGTGTATACTTAATATGAACATATCTGTATATTTTAAAACTCTTTTAAATAGTTGACTATATTAATTATAGCGTGCCACACCAAAGGACATGGCTGAATGTCAAGTAACGTTATTCATTACCAAACTGATTTGCATGCTGTTGTCCTGGAGTTCGAGCCAAACATCATTGAAACTCTTATTTTCCCAACGTGAATGTTCAGTTTTCGTCGTATTCAATAAAGAAATAGATTTGTAAAATATAAGAGTGGCCTGTGAAGTCCTTTACAAGCTCACCAGTAAACAAACCAGCAGTTTTCATTCCCTGATTTCAGACAGCAAGATGGTCAGCCTTGCTAATTGGATTCATTTATGGGAAGCAGAGATATGGTAAGTGTTTGAGTTTTGGTGACATTTTTAAACATTTTGGTATTTTGAAGCAGGCTTTTGTGTTGCCTTTTCTGCCTTCATTTTATTTAATAAATTAAATAAAATTAATTGTCTTTCTATGGTGTTTTTTAATCAATTTTCTCACCAGATTATCTGAAGCCCATTGCTGCTGAAGAAAGGAGGATTGAGGAGGAAGAGAAGAAACTCAGGGAAGAGCAAGAGCG